GGGGTCTGCAGTTTGGTGTACTAAGGATTGCACCACTGCTTTTTGCAGATGATGTGGTTCTAATGGCTTCATCGGTCTGCGACCTTCAGCACTCACTGGATCGGTTCGCAACCGAGTGTGAAGCGGCTGGGATGAGGATCAGCACCTCCAAATCTGAGGCCATGGTTCTCAGCAGGAAACCGATGGACTGTCCACTCCAAGTAGGGAATGAGTCCTTACCCCAAGTGAAGGAGTTCAAGTATCTCGGGGTCTTGTTCTCGAGTGAGGGAACAATGGAGCGTCAGATGGGCCGGAGAATCGGAGCAGCGGGAGCAGTACTGCAGTCGCTTTACCGCACCGTTGTGACGAAAAGGGAGCTGAGCCAGAAGGCAAAGCTCTCTGTCTACCGGGCCATTTTCGTTCCTACCCTCACCTATGGTCATGACCGAAAGAACGAGATCGCGGATACAAGCGGCCGAGATGGGTTTTCTCCGCAGGGTGGCTGGTGTCTCCCTTAGGGATAAGGTGAGAAGTTCGGTCATCCGGGAGGGACTCGGAGTTGAGCCGCTCCTCCTTCGCGTCGAAAGGAGCCAGTTGAGGTGGTTTGGGCACCTAGTTAGGATGCCACCTGGGCGCCTCCCTAGGGAGGTGTTCCAGGCACGTCCAGCTGGGAAGAGACCAAGGGGTAGACCTAGGACCAGGTGGAGGGATTATATCTCTTTGCTGGCCTGGGAGCGCCTTGGGATCCCCCAGTCAGAGCTGGTTGATGTCGCCAGGGAAAAGAACGTTTGGGGCTCTCTGCTGGAACTGCTACCCCCGCGACCCGACCACGGATAAGCGGGAGAAGATGGATGGATGGATATCCTAATTTATTTATGGACTAGCCAAACAGCTTATAATTTTTACGGGGAAAAACTAGCTTTTGCTAGTTGCTAGCTAGCTGGTTTGCTGAGTCACCTTTTTCCTAATCTTTTCTACATTATCACATGACAATTGTTACACAAATAAAAGCATAACATGATCACTGTCATGCCATTTTAGAATTTTTGAAAATAGAGTTTTGTACCTTTTTTAAGTGGAATGTTTAGGCAGAAACGTGCAACTATATGGTAACTCTAAATTAGCCACTGTTCCGCTAGCTACAATATATCACAGCAATCTCTCGTTGAGCACACTTCCTTTCGTGTACTTACATCTTTGTATCCTATTCCACCATATTCATGATATCTAATGGCATCTAATACAATTGTTTACTATTATTCAGCTGTAATCTATGTTTTCTTGAATATGTATACACTGTTTTGCCCTTTGTGTTGTAATTACAGACATGTATGAACTGGCTAACAACCTCATGACATCCAAGCCATGAGTAAACTCAAAATTGAAATTTTGAATAAACAAGGATATTAGATTATTTTGCACGCATATAGACATACAGTAGCGTACTGTATTTACTGAGTATGGGGTCAATAACATAGCATCTCACATTCTGAGACGGAATTTGTAATCATTTACATTTAAAATAATAAGTTGTAGCTCCAGTTCACTTTGGCTCTGTATCTGGTCCTTTTAAAAGGCACAATGTGTGAAATAATTGAACCTAATTACTTTTATTAGAATGTATTACATTTAGTCTACTTGGCAAATAATACATGTCTGAAATAATTACGTCAGACTCAGAACACAAACATAATGTTCTCTCCTGATCAATACAATGACCTTCCATCATTTTCACCCCTGCCAATACAATGTAAATTGAGCTGTGTACTGATTGAACTCACAGTAATAAATAACAACATTTGAGTTCTAGGGTTGTACTGCTCTTCATTGAGATTGGTGACCCGCAAGTATACCTCAGATCCATTCTTTCATAAAGTTTTAGGAAAGAATAATGAGCAAAAAACAGTAGTTTGGAGGTTCACTGGCGTATTTCGCCCCTGTGTTGTAAATATTGACCCTGGAGCAAGGCAGTGACTAGCTTTGAGGGACAGACTGCAGGTAGGAAGGTGAGATGATGAGCAAGCAACCTTTTCTGAACCCTGATCAATCACACTGCCTGTTGCCTTTGTCTTTACACCTTTAATAGCTCAATAGCTCATTCTTAAACAATGATTGCTTTTGCTAGAGCAGGACAAGGTGAATTGAAGCATACATTAATTTTGTAAGCAAGGGATTCTTGTTAAAGAGCATGTTTCTTACAGAACACACCTGTGCATGGAACTACATAAACAAAGGGACATGTATTCATTAGTTTGTTTGGATTGTGTTGACAAATGCCCCCAAGGACAATTACATATCAACAGGTTGAGGGAAAGGTCAAGTATGTATGCACAGAGGACAAGCTTAGAAATTACACTGTACATTTCAAGATTAATGCTTTCATTTGTCAACTGTGTTGATTTCTAGCCAAAACAATGGTAAAACAATGATTTGCAGACTAAAAAGCCAATCATCTGGCATAATAATGTATTTCCTTGGGAAATGGCTGAATAAATTGTCAAATGAACTGTTGAGAAGGAATCAAAGACCACGATTCATTGTGGGGGTGAATGATTGGTGCTAAATGTTCATCACCACAGCAATATTCTTTTTGTTGTGCAAATGTGCTGGCATTTTGCTGATGGCATGAACATCGTTTCCCTTCCGGTTTAAAAAATGAGCATACAAATGTACAGCACTCTAGACGTTACAGAGCTGGAAGGCAGAAGCGGAAAAATAAATTAGGTAGACGCTGGGCACTGCTGAGGCTTTTATGCTGACGCCTCATTCTCTGGGCCACTTCAACTCTGCACAGTCTCTCAATTTTACCCTTTGGATCTCTTACTCTTTGCCAAATCAGACTGGCTCTCAATGGCCAGTAAATCTATATTGGTAGAACCACTTTTCACGGCATAACTGGATAGATTTGTAGAACAAAGATCGTGTTTCTGGTTGCTCAATACGGCTTAATCCTTTTTAATGAAGTACAAGGCGAGCCTGCGTTTCAGCGACCATGGACAAAACACTCAATAAAAAGTGTTCCCTTTGCACATAATATTCTACTCGCTGGAAAGTCTTGCTCAGCTTTTTCTCTAATGGATCAATCATGTTTCCAGCAGAGTGCTGTATAAAACCTTGCTGGACCTTTACATGTCAAACACAAGAGGTTGAGGACACATCTTTTACTTGAGAAGAAATATTTATTTCTTAATAGTAGCACTATTTAGAAAAACATTTTTTGTTTGCCATAACTCAGCAAAGTGGTTATTTTCATCACCTTTAACTCTATGAATATGGAAATAGAAAATAAGACGTGAAAGGTTTAGGTATAATTTCTAAAAGCCAGGGCCAGACAACACAATATTTGTATATTTTGTGCTAGTCCCAATGTCAGATCAGCAGCCAACCATCCTGGTTAATTTAGTATAGAAAGTGAACTTTAACATACAATCTATCATCAAAGGTAAAGTTATTGGATTGGCTGGTTTTATATAGCCTGATTGCATTTGCAATTGTTCCCCATTTACATCTGCCATTAACATTAAATCTGTATCAGTCTATTCTTTCTGGATAGGGAAAAATGCATGTCAATGTGAAGTGTAATTGAACACCGAACACATTGTGACCAGAATTTGATTAGATAGCCACTTATTGAGGTTGTGTGGCTCGCATTCTTCTTGGTTTACAGCCAGTAAAAGAGTAAATGCATCCATTCAGCATTATCACATTCTGAAAGAAAGATTCACCAATCACTTTAAACGTTTACCTAACTCCACTTCCTTCTGCTAGTTAGAGCTTTAGTACCTTGATGCAAAACATATGTGAGTTGGTAGCTTTACAACACATTCCAATACTTGGTAGCACATGGTTGAAGCTGTGAAGGGCTCATTGTTAGGTTTATCCATCCAAACTACTAAGTTAGTAAAAAGATCAACCTTTGAATTAAAAAAAGAATAGTTGTTACATGACTTAAGGTTATGTGAAGCCTGGACGTGACGTAATTTGGCGCCTTTGGAGAGGAACCAGTTTGGCCTGGCAAAAACTAGAAATTACCAATGGTTAGCAAGGTTTTTCGAATAATGACAAGCGTTTGCTAAAATAATTATATCAAAAATATTTCTTCTCTTGGGTTAGGGTCAGGGTCAGGGGTTAAGCTGCATTCATGATACGCAAAATATTTTCTTTGCTCAATGTGAGGATGGGCGCCAAGCCTTGCAGTGAAATCAGCTAGTTAAGTTTTGTTTCTATGGTTACTTTCCCTGCTACCTTGCGCTGCTTCATACAACTTTCATTTGATTGGTTGATTGGTTGGCAGCTTAGGTGTAGGGGCACACAACACATGTAATGTTAATTAGTAATGGTAATTTTCAAATGCCTTTTATAAATGACATTTGAAAACACTTATATGTTCCCAGTGGTTGTTTGTGGGTATTTTAATGCCTGTGTAATAAATAGCATTTTCCCTTATTTTGTGTGTATTTATGTGTGTTTGGGGGTGGCCTTAAATTGTATGGCTGGAGTGCACACAGCAGATGAAATGTAACATCCGTCATCAAATGAGTGCCTCTGTGTTCCAAGGACATTCTCTCCCAGCACATTAAGCTTTTTTCAGCTCTATAACATCGCATGGGTAATTATTGGAATATATACTCTAGTGCTATCAGCATTTATCATTTAACCAAATAGAGCGAGGTGTCATCAGTCAGATATAACCTACAGCACATAAATTGTGTGGGTGTCACATTGTTTGTGTTGAGAGTACAGTTTTGGCCTGTGATGGCATCAGTAAGATGAATTTGTGTCAAAGCAGGCCACCACTTGCTGAATGAATGCGGAAAGAAGCCATCAGTGCCTCTGATTGATGTCCTCCATTTGGCCACAGCTCATACAGGAGCTATCTGTGCCTGATTCATGGTTGGCTTGGATGGGGCAGTTTCTTTAATAGCTGCTGCTAGTAGATAAGTACAGGTGAAGGTAGAGGGTTAATCTTACAGGACAGTTTAATGTAGCAATATTGCACCAACCGTGAAGCAGATATGCTGCAATGATAGTCTCTGTTTATTATAGACAAAACAATACAAAATACAAAACAATACATTAAACAGCAAGAAGGAAAAAGCCTCGCCTCAGATGAAAATACATCTGGTGTCAGATCTTCATGTTCACCTCACAAAAGCATTGCGTTCATGTTGCAAACTGCGCACGATGCAACACATCTTCATTACAACTGTGATGTTTTACTATAAACAGAATGCATTTTAACTGAGGGCAAAGGAAGAAAATAAATAAAAGTGCATGAATAAAAGGTAATTTGCACTACAAGCTCCAAAGCTTTTATCTCTCACATATTCATATTTGGAGCTTGTTAGCTTCCACTGATTTGTTTGAAATTAAAAAAAACATCACTGGATAGAAACAAGCTTTTTTTTCTTTTTTAAATGCACTTGCTGGCACACAATTGAAAATAAAACGTTTAATCATTTCACGTTGAACTGCACAATTACATTTGAGCAACTTTACACAGAAAAGCTGACTGCTCATAATGAACAGGTTCTTTTCATTAAGTTCACACAGATGTCATTCCCTGCTATTCAATTTGTATACATAGGTCAAACAAACAGCAGAAAATGCTTCTTTTAATAGCAGGGTGAGCTATACATACTGTGGATTGCACCAGCTTAAGTATGGCACTTTGTCGTGATCTATTTACACATTCCATCATTGCTCCGAGATTTTTGCCGAGCATATACATCACAGAAAATTGCTGCACTCTGCAGTCTGTGCCAATATTAGTGAATTACTGCCTGCTGACCCTTTGACAAACAGCCTCGCTGTCAGGGTTACACATTTCTTCCTCATCATTATACACTGGCTGCTAACCTTCAGAGACTGCTCAGAGTCCTCAGTGGTCTTATTCACAGTGTCCAAAGCATCGTAAAGCTTGTTGTGTCTGTCACTGTAAAGACAAAGTCCCTGCGGTCTTAGATTGACACAGCAGGTTTAAATTAGTTTCTGTAATATCTGGCCTTTTTTTTACTTTTTAAAAAGGTCATTTTATTCCATGCCCATTCTTTTTTTTTTCTCTATGAGTAAGATTAAAATTTCACGGTGTGAATTACATGGTTTCTTGAAAGGAGGTGCTTGAACAAAGGCTTTTGCTACGAGTTATCCATGATAACAAATTAGATTGCATCCTAGGGCTTGGCGATATAAACACAGGTGTGATATGCAATGTTCTATGTTATAACATTAGGAACTTGGATATACTTTTGATGAATTAGATTGCTTAACAACATACTTTTACATGCTACCCAGTCTTAACACAAAAACACAAGCTATCCTCAAGCAGTCTTATGCACTTTTGGCCAAGTTTCTTGAAACATTTCCCATTACATTACATTTTATTCATTTAAATGACGTTACTGTACTTATTACTCAACAGAAAATTGACTGAAACAACTTTAAAGCCTCCAAAACCACTCATTACATCTTACATATTTAACATGTGTAGGAAAGAAAACCCCAGCCGACTGTTTGGAGGATTTCAGTTAACACTACCAACAGATAGCTTGATGTTAGTGCCAGTGCTGTACGTGTATGTTCCATTAGATCAGTAGCTCCACCTCACATGGGAGAAGTTAGCCTTGAGGGCTTTCTGACAAAAAAGGTTCCATTTTAAACCATGATATTTTCTTAAACAAAGTAGATGTGATGCCTTAATCAAGGGAGAAAGCTCTACATTACGAGGAAAGCCCTCAATTCTCACTTCCAATACTGTTTAATTTTCCAAATCTATTTCTTTACTTCTACCACTTAACACAAATAAACACGTTGGTTATTGTCGACTGTGTTTATTTGCATGTGGACTATTGGGCCGAGGGAACAAAAGACATCATGTCAATGGGGGGCAATTCCAAAGGGAGCATTGGAAATTCCAGATAAAACAACAAAATATGCTTTTCGAAAATTGGGAGTTTATTTATTTTAATAAAAAATATCCACCCTGCAAACCGCCAGCACACAGCAAGCTAGCACGATTGGACCGGTCTGTCCAATGAATGCACTGAGACCAAAACTGATAACCCTAACCCTACCTTTCCAACACACTTACATAACTTGTTACTGCTAAGGATATTATTTTAGCAACTGACAGCCTCATTTCAGAGAACTGGATATAGCGTTAGAGGCGGGCCCCGGTTCATTTCTTTGGAAGTTGCTATGTGGCCCATGAAGACCAAAAAGTTTGACTTCCCCGCGTATAAAGTTCCCGAACCCTCCGCATCCATAGGTGTTACTTTGGTGTCTTGTGCCACATTTCCACTGCCTGGTACAGCATGGTTTTACAAAACTCCATTTAGTTTTGGATATTCAATTAAAAAACAGTTAAAAGACAGTCCCAAACAGGACTGCGCTAATGTGATTTAGAGACTGAAACGAAAAAGATACTGTAACAGCAAGATGGGAACTAATTTAAACCTGAAGCATCACAACCTGATACTCTACACAGAGTACATGGACTTGCCATCAAACCAGTAATTACTGTAGACCGATCTGTAGGAACAAGTAGTAACCCAGCTAGCGGGGAACGTTCTCACAACTTTGGCTAACGTTACCTACAGGTTCTAATAAGGTTTTAAAGAAACGTTTTAATCTGATGTTCAAAGAACCTTTTTAGGATGTTTATTTTTTCAAATAATGTTCCTATAAGGTTTAAGGTTAACTAAGAGATAACGCTTTAACTGCAACATTCAGGGGATGTTTTGAGGATGTTATTAAGGCCTGAGATGACAGAAAGTTTATTTATAAAACGTTCCTTTAATGTGATATGTTAACAAAGGTGGAACGTTTTGCCTGCAACATTCTAAGAATATGTGTTGGACGTTGTTGGGTAACACATTAAAGATGTTCTTTATAAAATGTTCCCTCAATGTTACATGATAACAAATGAAGAACATTCTCCAAGCAACATTCTGAAAATGTTTTCAGGATGTTATTCTTTTTTTACAAAACGTTCCTGTGATGGCAAATATTAACACAGTCATGATCAACGTCAGATTTATTTCTAGAGCGCTTTAGAAAACAAACTTGTTGCATTTGTTTGAAAAGGATGTTATAAAAAAAAAGAAAAAAAAGCTGTAAGCAGATATTGCATGTTTGCGGTGGCGTGTCTGAGTTCCCAGCTAGACATTTTTGGTTCTCAAAAAATTCTGAGAATGTTACCATTCATTGTTCTAGGAAAGTTTTCAGCGGGACGTTTTATTTTGGTTCCCAGAATGTTCTTCTGAAAGGTAGGATAACGTTCTCTAATTGTTGGTGATAACTTTCTTAAGATGTATGAGCGCATTGAGACAATGAATAGGACGTATAAAAACGAATTTATGCATGCCAATATTCACTCACATACACTTATAATTACACTAAGGTATTTAGGCCCACAGTATTCATAATATCATGTGTAAAATATCAGAAAATAATCACACTTTTTTCTGATTATAAAGGTTGTGTCTCGTATGTAGGTTCTAACTGTTAGATAGGCTATCTGGCCGTGTGTGGTTTGTGAGGGCTGCGTATAAACAGTGTCCGCTGTTTATGCATATTGGATACAAATATCCCCCCCCCCGTGCCTGCTGGTCTGCTCTACACAGCTGGGAGCCATCTCCAATCAACCACACCTCCAACCTGCTCATCAGCCACACTATGAAAGCCTGCAGCCTGCACTCATTCCCTGCCAGATTGTTGCGTGCCGCTCTAGCTTTTTACCAGCATATTCTTTGACAACTTCGCCTGCTTTTGCCTCACACTCATTTTTGTGTCTCTCCCAGGAGGAATCCAAGGCCTTCCACACTCCCAATACCAGCCAGGCCTCTCCTCCCACCCTGGAACAACTATTTCCCACTGCCGCCATCACCAACCTCCACTCCCAGCTCCCCTTTTCTAATAAACAAATGTTACTTTCACCAGCTGATTCCGAGTCTGATTATGGGTCCCCTCCAGAGCATGTGACACCGACAGTGACTTGTACTAGCTGCTGGTCACATACAAAAAAAGAAAAAAAGACTTTTGATAAATCGGAACGATAAAGCACGTTATCCTTCTCTAAAATAATAACATTCTGGCAACATAAAAAAATCTAACTTGCAGCTGAAAACGTTTTAAGAATAGTACGGCATAATGTTCCAACAATGTTATCAAAAACATTTAGAAAAGGTTATTACCAAGCATTTTAAGAATGTTTTTAGAGAAAGTTATCCTATCTTTCAGAAGAACATTCTAGGAACCAAACAAAAACTTCCCGCTAAAAACGTTTTAAGAACAGGAGGGCATAATGTTCTAACAATGTTATCACCAAACATTTTAAGAATGTTTTTAGAGAACGTTATCCTACCTTTCAGAAGAATGTTCTGGGAACCAAAAGAAAACTTCCTGCTGAAAACATTCCTAGAACAATGAATGTAACATTCTCAGAATGTTTTTAGAACCAAACATTTCTAGCTGGGAAGGCTCTCATTAAAACACATCGGCAACAAACTGTAACAACACTGACCATGAAGAGAAGACCATGGCTGTAAACATTACACACAGGGGGATTTAATAGGACTAGAGGGGATTGAATATTCTATTTCTATTTGTGATCATTTTAATAATTTAAATATATATTCTGTCCAAAGCTTGCATGATTCTTGGTTAGAACAACAATAGTTCTTTGATAAATATTGAAATAAGTATGTTTTTAAATATCACTGAGCCGCATCATATAGCAGGAAACTACCAATATTAAGTGTGGCATATTAGTCTGGTTCTGTTTTGTGTGAAGAGGGAAGGGGAAGTGGATGCTCCAATTTGGTTTCTGTTTTTTGTACCAATAAATTGTATCTTTGCAAGGTTTGTGAAAGCTACCTGTATCTGCTTTGTATAAAATGCTGAAGTTGGCTCATCAAATAGCATCCTATTATATTTTTGGGCCAAAAAGAAAAGGAAGGGAAAACACATCAAATTGGTTGTGTTGGGGTACTTTTAATTAAATCTTCTCTAAAAAGTCCCATGTGTAACTAAATCCATCCTGCAGCTAAGTCTCTGCTACTGTCTTTAAGGGCAACGTTTGTTTATAGTCAGACTTTGACATTACTCCCTGATAGGGAGGGCTTTAGGAGCGGCTTCTTCTTGCTACTTGGCAAAACGCCGGGTAAGTACTGATCCGCCGGCGTGGTCACTTCGTCCAATCCTGAAGGGAAGTTGTCTGGACTTTCCCCATTGGACGATTCCTTGATGGCGCTGTAGGTTAGCGCCACACTGTAAGCAGCTGGTTTCTCCATACGTTGTGGGCCACAGTGACACAACTTCTTAAAAACCGCTCGGAACTTCTGGGACATGGCGTTGTAGATGACCGGGTTGATGGCGCTGTTCAGGTAGACGCAGAGTCGGCAGAAGAGCAGGAACCAGTTGTCCAGGTAGGCGTCGTCCAGGAAGGAGTTGACAACCACTAGGGTCCGGTAGGGCATCCAAAGCAAGGCGAAGAGGACCACCACCACAGCCAGCATCTTTGTCACCTAATCAAATGAAATAATGTGTTAAAAAAGGCTACAACAGGAAAACACAGAAATCTAATCTTTCATGCACAAAAAACAGCCCAAGAAACATTGAATACTAGAACTTTTTTACAGCAGGTCTGGTTTCCAAGTAGACTAGGTAGCTTATCTGCGTTCCCAGGATGTTCCTGAGCTAAATATCCTTATTTTTTCAAAGTCAGAAGTTTAATGTACATTTCTCTACAGATGATTACCCTACTCCTTAAAATCTACGGCTGAAATGTGGGTTAGGATTAGTTTTTCAGGTTTGACTTTCTTGATTTACATTTTAGCATCTCCTTTTGTTTTTTTGCTATTTGGAATGCAAATAAAGAAGAAAGCCCCTAACAAACTCTTACAATGAGGACCCTGGAAACCGAAATAGTCAGCATATGATCATAAATGTTTCATCTCCTCACAAAGGAGATAAAAAAAAATGTATATGGAAATACAACACTGTTGTATTTCTGAAAAAGATGCAAAAAACGATTAATTCTAGGACCAGTAGTGATAAGCTGCATCAGTGACAACAGGTGTTGTCAGAACATAATTCTTGATGGATTGTAACTTGTGAAGCCATCATGCCCAAGAAAATAAAAAGTCATTTTCACCAGCACTCTATCCACTGAGGTGCAGCCATGCTCCTTCTCAAATATTGTAGGTGAGAATGGAATTTTGGGACGACTAACTGCCACAGAACCATAATCAGAAGATCTGAATGTTCAGTCTGCTGGGTGTGAGTATTTATTTTCAGGGCAACAGTAGTAAAAACATGTATGATCATTTTGTGATTATTTAATTTAATTTTATGCATTGCAATGTGAAGCCTTTAAACTTGTTTTTTTAAGGACACACCATGGAATAAGCAGAAAGCAGCGGTGTCCTCACAGGGGAATGCATTCAAGATCAACAAAAGGGCTCAAATCTGTATGTTATGAATAAGAAGAACAAATACAATATAATTATTCAATTCAAACAAAGGCTGTCACAATTGCAACTTAAATGTGTTGTTTAAATATAATTTATGAGGACACTGGTGTTCAGAAATATTTACTACTACGAGTTACTACTACTACCATAATCTGAGGTGTGTTGCTTCTCATAAATGTGAAACTGAAAATCCTGGAAAGTCTGAGTTTTGTTTACTTCGTATTATTTTCCCAGGTCTATAACTTAATTATTTTTCCAACCAACAATGGGCATATATGCTGTCATATTCATAGAGTTTCAATTCAACTGTACAACATACAAATGAATGAAGACACGCCATTTTAGATGGAAAATAATAGTAAAGATTTATAGAGATTTATCCAACTCCTATGTTGCACCAACAGTGATACAATGAGCATTGTTAATGTAACAACCCTTTGGAATCTTTAAAAGCATGCGATTGTAGATCTAATTAAACCCTATTTATTCAGATGCTGTTAATTAATTCCCAACAAGGAAGCCTGATCTGTATGCACAACTTAACAAAGCCTGGATTTGTTAATATAATTACCAGATGTAAATACTGATTGTGAAACTGCCCCATTAATACATATTTTCCATATGTATGTTGTGTCGTCTCGGCTGCAGTCAAGTGAGGATGATTGGATTGGATGGGGGCGCTTGCAGTGTCATAAGTGAGCGAAATACCTAATCGTGATTTCTCATTACTGTTTGACCTTTAGGTCATTCACGATGGTCCATGGTGGATTGTGTCCACAGAAACACATGTGAGTGTGTGTTTCTGGATGTGAGATTAAACACAAGCCTGGCTGGTGGAGAAAACGCCAAAAGCCTATTTGAGTTGGAGTTAACTGATTAGGCAATCCAACAGAGCATGGAGCTCCCTCAGGGTACCACACCCCTCCCCCCCACCGTGATCTGATAAACAAATGTCTAGCTTTGCTATCTGTGTGTCTGCCGCGTGTGTCTGTGCCATTAGAGGATTCTGGGTTATTTTGTAGGAAGTAGGAACCCTTTTCAGCGTGTCTTTGACCAAGGGAAGATGAGGAAGAAACCCTTTCTTGAATAGTTTGAGTTTCCTCCACAAGGGATAAAAGATGTGTTTTTCTCAGGCACACTGAGCGATGGGATTCAAAAGGTGGCAGCAACACAAGCTCTTATAAAAGAAAGCACCTTTGAAACTATAACAAGTTTTAAGTTTTAGATTAGCTTTTTTTCACTGAAAAAAGACTGTGGGACGATTCAACTATTAACAATACTAGTACCTTCTTGTCGCAATGGTTACCCCTTGATAATGTGTGGGCTGTCAACAAATCTGAAGGTCGGCGGTTCAGTCCCCGGCCCGACCAGTTTACATGTCCCAGATTTATCGGGCAAGATATTGAAGCTGAATGTGCTCTCAAAAGCCTAGCCATTTGTGTGTCAGTGTGTGGGAATGACCATTACATTAGATGATGAGCAACTGGCACCTTGTATGGCAGCTCTGCCTTCAGTTTGAATGGGTATGTGTTGAATGTGCTTTTAGTGGTTGAAAGACTCGAATAGCTCTATAAACATAAGGCCCACCCTCTTGTTCCTCAGTATACACTGTTAGCGTGTTCTTTGCATCCTTAGCTGCGAGCCGCTGGTTTAGCCATTTACCAACATAATACTTCATAACTTTTACTTATCTTATGTGAATTGCTTATAAACATGATTTTGAACTGATTTATTTGTATGAAGTCCATTAAAGATCTTCTGTTTTGGACATTTTGACAGATACTCCAGTTTGTGATATATTTTCATATTCAGTTGTGTCGATTGTATTTTTCCAAAATAAATGTATGAGGATTTATGTTAATGCGCTTTAATATAGTACGCAATGACACAATAATCTGTAATGGTGTTACAACAATGCTCATTACCGCTTGCAGCTGGTATTGTTTTCAGCTTGTGAGTGTGTATGTCATCATGGTTAAATGAGACCTTCTGGAGTGGAGCGTTGAAATCCCTTTTTGTTCCTGGACAGATTGTATTTCTGCAACAACAATGCAACCGTGCAGTGACAGTGACAAAACTATCAGATGTGTAGTTGAGATTAAAATGAACATCGAGTTTGAAATTGAAATTGCTCTCTGCCGGCTCTCTTATCTCAAAGTATAATGGTAAATTAATCCATCTGAACGTTGCGTAGATATTTCGACACATTAATGTATTTTTTCTGTTGTCTGTTTTTACTGCTTTGTTAAATCTTATAGTATATTATTACATTCAGGTCAGAGGAGTACGAAGGACCCAAAACAATGAGAAAATAAAGCAACTTGTGTAACTTTTGTAGAATATTTGTAGTAAATTGTACTGGCATCTGGAGTATTGTGACAGGTTAGTGGTCACTATCATTGTGTTTTCATCACAATTATGCTTCTTTTTCTTACATTGATAGGTGTTGCACGTTCAATGACTTTTTTACAGACTTTTCAATTAAAGTTCTTTCTCGAAAAACACATTTCTATGATGACAGTCACAGATTTACTTGTGGGCTCTGTCTAAACAATTGTAGACACTATGCAAATCAATGGTAACTTTCCTAAAATGTTAATAATAAAAATATTTATTTTCAGATTACAATAATTTGGTAAATCATTCTGTTTTGAGAATAGATAATACTAAATGTGGTGCTAAAGTGAGGACTAAAGCCACTCATGAGTAGACCAAAAATGTTATCACTCAAACAAGTTCCTGATTGGAGGAAATGTACTCTAGTGGTCCAGATGGCCCCTTTCTCCCTACTCACACAGCTCCAAAGACAATCATTGATAACGCACTGATTATGAACAAACAGTGTCCCACCTGTCTGCGCGAGGCGGCCGTGGTGCTGCTGGAGGAGCAGGTGCTGACCATCCTCCCGCCCTGACTCGCCTCCTTCTTCCACTTCTTGGTGCTGTTCTTTGGATCAGATGGCAGCGGGTTGAGGAAAAGTATCCGGGCGATCAGTCCGTACAGAACCGTGGCCAGCATGAGGGGCAGCACGTAAAACACCGCGAAATCCGTGAAGTAAATGGGCAGGTAGTAAGTCCTGGACACCTTGTAGGCGCAGCTGAGAAGCACCACGTTGTCGTACACCAACTTCTCCGTGTCCGAGAGGAAAAGCCACATTACGCAGTAGACGGAGGTGAGCGCCCACACCACCATGATGATCTTCTTCGCCCTGGATAAAGTGCACAGGAACTGCGCTTTGATGGGGTGGCAGATGGCGATGTAGCGCTCCACGGTGAAGGCTGTGATGGAGCAGGAGGACGCATTTATTCCCAGGTACTGGAAATAAGTGATGCCCAGGCACCCTACGTAGCCGTACACCCACTGTCCGTGCAGGGCGTCGGTGATGTTGGGCAGCCCGGCCGCCGTCAGCACCATCAGGTCAGCCGCGGCCAGGCTCACCAGGTAACAGTTAGTGGGGGTCCGCATGTGTTTGGTGGTCAACACCACCATGATCACCATCACATTCCCCACAATCCCCATCCCGCAAATAAGGGACACCAGAAACACGCTGACCACTTTGTATTCATTTGTGTAGTCAGTCCAAACCCCCAGCGTGGTTTGATTGTCATGCACCAACGTGTCATTCTCCATGGTCATGTTATCCATGGTGAGGTTTTCCATAATTGAGAAATCAAAAAATTGTAATTACCTGCAGGGCCCTGGAAGTCCAACAAGCATAAATCCTCCAAAAAACTTCATTTCATCCACATATAATCCAGGCAAATTGTATTTTCTTCTCCAGTGAAAACAGATTTTGATATTGCAAATGATCAAATAGCAGTTGAAAAGCAGTTTGAGCCTCTTGCTGATTGAAGTTTTAAGAGAGAGGGAAGACAGAGGTGGTGTTGCAGACAGCTCCGCACCCTGCTCCTGTCTCACTGCTCACACAGTCATGACTGAGAAAGAGCTTCCTGCAGCGTTTCATATATATATACACACACACACACACACACACCACACACACACACACAGACACACACACACACACACACACACACACACACACACACACACACACACACACACACACACACACACACACACACACACACACACACACACACACATACAGAGAGAGAGAGTGAGGTCACAGACAGGCATTGGAAGCCAATGACTAGATTTAGTCATTAAGCATTCTTTTTTTGTTTACAGCTGATGCTTCATAAGAGGAGTAAAGAGACAGTCCATATATAGATTTGCAACAACAGCATACAGTTTAATTGGAAATCACTGCACATTAGTGACACATATAATTACATATTAATTAAAATATACATACAGTTGATATACATTTCAACAGTATGATTTGAACAGAGCCTATCTGCTCTGATTGATTAGCTGGTTGACTCTTTTTTGATTGGTTTAACGGCTTAGACGTGTATCTACAATTTACAATGGAAGGGAGCGTTAGCCAAGCGCAAGTGTTAAGTAGTGATGTCACTATGTTAAGGAAGTAAACAACTGGTGACAACCTTGGATATTAAACATTTGCTGAGCTGTTACATGCACAGAAACCCGAAAAAAGATTAATAGGGCCCCTTTCATTTCACTCTTTTGTGGAAAAATGTAGCTATGAAGTTACACAACTCATTATTTGATATTGTAGAAAGGTTACAGATCAAAAAAATGTAATTTAACTATCACTTATCATGCTGTTTTCTTACTCCTTTCTCCTAATGTACTGTAGCTTTGCGGTTGAGGATTCTTATTTCACATTGTATATATTCTGCATCAGCTTGTTCTAACTCTTGATTGAAGCTACGCAATGTTCACACGAGGAAATATTAAAGGAAAGGTTCATGTTTGCATCCCATCAAAAGGAGATATTGTAGATGTTTGCATCAAATAAAGTTATTGCCATCCGACCTCTGCAGCTCATCCAGAATGCAGCGGCTCGTCTGGTCTTCAACCTTCCTAAATGTTCCCACACCACTCCGCTCCTCCGCTCCCTTCACTGGCTTCCGGTAACTGCTAGAATCCACTTCAAGACAATGGTACTTGCTTACCATGCTGCGAATGGATCTGGCCCTTCCTACATCCAGGACATGGTTAAACTGTACACCCCAGCACGTGCACTACGCTCTGCATCAGCCATACAGCTCGCTGCACCCTCACTGAGAGGGGGACCCAAGTTGCCATCAGCAAAAACATGTGGGTTTGCTATCCTGGCTCCAAAATGGTGGAATGAGCTCCCCATTAATTGACATCATGACATCAGAAAGCCTACTGTACACATCTTCCGGCGCAGACTGAAAACTCATCTCTTTCGACTCCACTTTGAGCAATAAAATGAAATGTTTTACTTTGACAGCACTAACATACTTACACTTATATAGGCTACTAAGCACTTACATACTAACAAAGCACGTATATACTAACAAAGGACTGGCTTATCTAAAACCTGTTGAGTAGCATTTAAAATGGTTTGGCTCTATGAAACCTGATGTACTTATATGTTTATGTTTTCTTCAAGTTTGTATCTTCTTGGTCGAATGCACTTATTGTAAGTCGCTTTGGATAAAAGCATCAGCTAAATGACATTTGAACAATGCACTGCATGTGTTTGTAGTGATTTACCCAAAAGATAAACTCATAATAAATATGTGTGATATATTTTTACACTGATAATATGATATACACATCTGATAAATGTGTGATATACAGATATTAATTTCTAGAACATAAAAGACATGTAAAACCTCTTTATTCCCAATCCTCAATTAAAACCCTAAATGAATATTCAAATACAAATATAGGTGATGTCATAAGGTGTCTTATAAAGCATTTCAGACAGAGTTAATGAAAAAGTACTCAACAAGAAAAGAGGGGTTCAAAATGTGATTCAGTATATTACCTGATAATACTAACTTGGTGTTTTTGATACATTACTTTTACCTATAATAGAGAATGTACACCGTCATATTGTTTTTGCTTGAGCAAATGAAATGAATGCACACACATATACAGTATGTCATTTATTCACACAGATTGTATACAGGGATATTGCTGTATCATTACAGAGAGAGATAAAAGCACCATCAAGCATGTTAGTTCCTCTTAACAAAGTGTCCAAGCATCATAAGTAGTTTCGGGTTGTAAAAATAGACCAAATGTTCCCATAAAGCACAATGAGATCATTTAAAATGTCTTTTTGAGTCCTACAGGCATGCTTTTACAGTATTATAGGACTATTATAGCGATGGAGAGCATTTCTAAAATGAGGACAAGGTCACTTTAGTATTATCACTTTTGGGGGCAATGAGTTATAGTTTCACGAGTTGGCTCCAAAAGGCTCAGCACGACTTGGGCTAACATCATAGCAGCATATTTGCATGGTTTATTTCTATAGTCTGTGATAGTTAACTACAGTTTGATATTATTAAATTAAAGTTGTTTGTGAACTATACGTTAAAACCAGAGAAAGAGTTAGGGTGTGGTTGTCCTTTTTGTAACTCATTTATATTGTATACCTTTCTTATTGCCTAGGTGTTTTTGAATGTCTCTCTCTGGGTTCTTGTTGTCTATCTACTGAATCATTGACCTTACACCGAATTGGTTTGTGGACTGCCGTTATTAAGCCTTGAGTTTGAAATTTTGGAATTACACAGTCTTATTTTTATGGAAACAGAAGGGACCGTTTTTGGAAGAGATGAGCAAGGCCTGACAGGGGATGAGCAACTTTGAGAGATGGTTAAGGTAAGCATTGTCCTAAAATGGTTAAGGTTAGCCTAGGTTGTCTGGTAACCCTTGATCCACTGAAATGGTTGAGGTTAGTCTTTGGACTCAAGTTTTCAAAAATGTAGGATTACCATCTACTGTACAGTAGACACAATCCCTGCCTAGGCTGGTACTGTCTGCATAGCAATAACTAGGTTACCAGCTAACTCCTCTGCAGTAGCTAGCTAGCTTGGTTGGCAATCCGGTATTCATGTTAACTGTTGAATTGATTGAGATGCTTATTTTGGCTACCAAGAAAAAATGAACAATGCCGTACACCGAAACAATTATCAAGACTTTTTCAAGAGAAACAACACTTCACCTTTATTGTAATCTACAGGATACAGAACTTGTCATTCACAAGCAACTCCTAGAGCATACTATACTATGTTACTCTATAAGGGTCCTTCATTTACAAAATGAACTTCATGCTGTATTGAAGTAGATTTTAAACTGCGATTGAGACCTTAAACTCATCAGAATAATTTTTAGATTGTATATCAAGTGAGTATTGGGCTGATTTTCTCATAGACTTCTATACAATATGACTTATTTTTGTAACCAATGAAGTTGTCCCCTGCTGGCTATTTAAAAAAAATGCAGGTTCAAGGCAAGAATGCATTGGCTTCACTTGTCAAACTTGGAGGTCGCCCCCTTGGGTTCCCACTGTTCAATTAGATTACATCATCCTAATGTAGAAACGGCTGAGTTCTTTGGTGCTATCACAACACCGGTGGTTGGTGTTAAAGCAATTCTCCGCCCTAGGGGTAAAGACCTGTAACATTCAATAGAGGAGCTGAGGTATGTGGAGCTACATAAACCTAAGAGATAAAAAGCCTGCACTCATCTCCATCTGTGGAATATACAATGTAAAACGGTAAATCGAGATATACGTTTTTATGGTTTAACTGTTCGTGATTAGCAGCCCCATCCTGGTGTTTTAGGACCAGCAGCCAAAAAAGATAAACAAACTGGCTGAGGTTTCAGGCAGTCTCTCAGCAGTAGTACAGATTAGCGTTATTGTTATTCCCAGGGAGGCTGTATGGGCACGAGTGAGGAAAGAGAAAGCAGAGGATGAAAATGACTCAGATCTCAGCACAGCAGGCGATGCAGCTGTTTATATTATTGTCTCTGTTACATTCCCAGGAGGCCGGTTTAGCAATGAGAGCTCAGCGGTGTGCAGGAAAAACAGCCTGGATGGAATCACAGATACATCTTTTAGGCTACTTTTTGGACTGTGGACAGATTAACTACAGATTATGTGGATACTAGGGGTGTAAGGGTATCCGTATTCGTCCCGTACCGTCATGGTTCGGACGTCACGGTTCGGTGCATGCAAGTCACACGACGAATACGCCTTTTTTTACAAGTGGAAAAAAAGTCTGTCATTCAGGGCAGTATCCACTACACCAGGGGACTTCAACTCAAATTCAACGAGGTCCAGTTAGAGAAAATCTCCCCATGCAAAGGTCCGGAACATCAAAATGTCTAACTTGCTTCATGAATTAGTGTGATATATATTGAAGTAGCCTGTAGCTTTATCAACGTCTGCATGTAATCAACAACTGACTGCCAATCAAAAAAAGAAAGTACAATTCATAAACAACAATATGTATTGTCAATTAACATTACTTAAATACTGTGGATATGTCTAATGTTCCTCTCGGGCTGCATTTACAAATAAAATAGAGAAAATAAATAAAATAGCTTTTGAAAATATGTGCATCTTAAAAGTGCTTAATTTAAACAAATACATAAATAAAGTGTAGCAGCAGCTTGAGTGTCCCTTTTTCTTTGTTAACCGTTTCACATCATGACTTAACAGTTTCAGCCGATTATAGAACAATATCAGTCTTTACACATCATAACAATTGAACAGTTTTAAAGTTTCTCTTTCTTTCCCTCTTATATTGCAGTCCCTCACTCACTTTTTTTAAATTCAGTGTGAGAATTGAGCTGGAGCTTGTCCTGCCAGGAGTTTGTAAATCTGGGCTGAAATGGTGTCAGGGCCATTCTCATTCACACATGCAGGTGCTCATTGGTTACAGTGATGCAAACACAGACCAAAAGAGAGAACTATTCGAAGCAGGAAAAAAACAGCGTAATATTCCATCTGACAAAGGCCTGTGCTATAATGCTTCAATTAACTGGCTATTCTTTATAATATACTCAGATCAATAGGAGACAGAGATGTTAAGTTATAAATCAAG